CCCCGCTAGTTTGAAACCAAAAAGAAAAATAGAGGAAGGAACAAGAAGTGAAGGAAAAATAAGAAAAGAAGGAGGAGTTTAAATCGCGAAGAGAGGGACGGTTAAAAAAATGGAAATACCGGATACAATGAAGAACAAATGCTGGATATTGAGCAAGCAATTTAAAGGTAATCCCACCGTGGACAATTTCAAGATGACGGAGGAAGAGCTACCGGATCTTGTTGATGGAGGTATATATATTATCATAATACCATCGTAGTTAATGATTACTCACACACACACACACATTACACGCGCCGCTGCGCACACCCACACCAACACACACACCACACACACACCGACACACACAATACACACATACGACACAATCACACACACGACACACAGCTGCGCACACACGACACACACACACACACACAAACACACACGAACAGACACACACCCACCACGACACATACCACACACACACACCACGGCGCGCGCACACACAACACACACACAACCACACATTCACATACACACACACACCACAACACACACACACCACAACACAACACAAACACACACACACACACACCAACACACAATACACACACACACACACACACACCACCAACACACACTACACACACACACACGGTATACACACCACACACCAACACACACACACACACACACCAGACACACACGAAACACACACACACCAAGCACACACATACACTCACACACCAACACACATACACACACACACACACACACACGACACACACACACACCAACACACACACATACACACACACATGATTATATATATAGTATATCACATATTTATTGACTTGATCTTATATAATATATCATTCGCATAACAATACGTACTATATAATTATTTCAGATTTTTATATGCACCGTGTTCTATTAATTTCTTGCATTTGTTTATATTATTTACGTTCATGCAGTGTGTTACGATAATTCTGTATCGTATTTATGTATCGCTTAATATATATATATATATATATATTCTATTATATATTATATTAGAGCAGAGAGAGAAGGATGAGAGAGCGATAGACGAGAGAGAGAGGAGAGAGGATGAGGAGAGGATGATGGAGTGGGCCCTTCGAGAGAGAGAGAAAGAGAGAGAGAGAAGCGCGCGGAGATTAGAATAGATAGATAGTAGATAGATAGGATAGATAGTAGATAGATAGATAGATAGATAGACATAGATAGATAGATAGACTAGATAAATAGTTTGGATAATAGATAATAGATAGATAGATACGATAGCGTAGTAAAATAGATAGATAGATGATAGATAGATATCAATTAAATAGATAATAGATAGATAGAGAGATAGATAGATAGAGAGATAGCATAGATAGATAGTGATAGATAAATAGATAGACATAAGATTAGATCAGATTAGATTAGATAGATAGATAAGATAGATAGATAGACTTTATCATTGGATGAAATATACGAAACAATTTCTTTACAGCAGGTATATTGTGTGAGGTGCGGAAATAATCAGCATAGACCCATATGGCAAGGTATGTATGCAGATATGGAAGGAATAGTAAGGAATAGTAGCCATGCACAGAGTATTGGTTTTTTATTCTTCATGAACGCAGCGGCATGTTCAGTTGAGATATATTTAGGATAAATTAAGTTGTAGGATATATTAGACAATTTTTTCTTACACCGGGGGCTCCCTCGCGTTATATAGTACTGCTTATGATAGTAAGGATGAGCATGCCATAATAATGTGTCCTTTTCCCCGATGCTTTTCCTATTTGTTCTGAAATAGCTGCGTTAAATGTATATGCCACATTAGGGTTCGGTGAATGCGACGTAGGTGGACCGTACAACACGGTGTGGCTATTAGTAACAATTAGTTAGGCATGACTAAGGACTAGAAACTGTCGAGATGCTTAGGGTTATTATGCATGTTTTCTGTAAGAGGTAGAGATAGAGTTAATAGAATCATTTGACGCTGCTTTATCTTGTCTGGTCATTTGATCTACTCTCTACACTTGCCATTTCGACTCTGCACCAGGGCGTCTATTATAGAAAATAATCTTATTATTAGGTCGACTGCATTATTCAACCTCTTTGTCTGTGTTCCTAAATACACTGAAAACCAAGACGAAGGAAACAATCCATACTATGTAGAGACGGTATATACTGGTCACGATAATTTATATCGCCCATCTAATATATCCTATATAATTATTATATAGTCATTATATGCTACTATATTATATATATATATTACATATGTCTTGCCCCTCTGTTGGTTTAACGAGCACGCAGAAAACGACTGTGAGTGTGCTAGCTGGCATTGATGACGTCATGACTTGACGCATGATGGGGACATATGAATAATTGATGGCTTTTCCAGGCTTAATAACCCGTTGCGGCACACCGTGTACGGGAGGGCAAGTCGCCTGTCGTAAGTGTTGTCCGCCCAATAAGTAATTAATCCATTTATAGGTGACTATGATTAGTTCGAGTGCGGTCCCTTGTGGTAACAGGACGGCTTTTGCCTCGGCTAACGGGCCGATAAATCGTCCTAGCCATCAAACCTGCAGTGGTAGCGCATTCGAGGTATAAATCGAAGCGCGAGGGTTAACATTGGTGAGTTCACAGTTCACCGATGCGCCGCATTTACCGCAAAATATAAGACCGCAGAAAATTGAATATTAGCCTCTATTCAACTCGTAATGCAGATCGTTAATATCATGGAGCGTTACTTTGGGTAGTATTACAGCGCATCAAAATGTGTATCAAGAACTTTTTATTATTATTTTTTCATGGCATCAGTGAGTTTGCATCGTCTACTGCGACGAAAGTAACAAATGAATGATGTACACGGGGGTAAATCGCGGGAATACACAGACACAGATGCTAGAAATTCGATCATGTATTATTTATTTCGGTCAAGAAATTTACAGAAATTTAACCAAGAAAAGTTTACAAAGATGACGTCAATTATCTTTTCCTCCATTAATCTATCATTTAATGAGATTGTTCGATGACATTGGCATCGGCTTCGGGGCGTTCATTATTTGTGTCGCGGATTCTTTGGCTTGGTAAGTTAAATGGGTGCAGTCTCTTTTCTTGCCGGCCACTCTCTCTAGTTTAAATTATGCACAAAGATGTTGAACACATATGGATCACCTTTCCTGCCAGTATCCCTGATGATGTTTTTACCATTTTTAATTTCCCTTCGCGACAGAAACTTCTGGCTACGTTTTTACTAATTGCGATAGTCCCCTAAACACAATAATGTTTACCGTACAAAGCTGCCCAACGTTCCATTTCTTCCTCACTTGTGCTACGAATACTAGACACTCGATAGACGCATTCGTTGACAGGTGTATAATAATATTAATAAAGATAAATAATAATAATAATATATATATGAATAAATAATTATTATTAATAATAAATAACTGATTAGAATGACAACGTAATATGTATCTTTCGTGACATTTAGCGGGATTAAATCGAATCAAGCTTACTGTTAATTTTGTGACATCCATTTCATGCGCATCGTCATCCGTCTATTATTCTGTCAATTTTATGTCCTTTTCTCTCTAGTTGTTATTGAAAGAAAAAGCTCTTTCGGTCGGAAGTCACGTGCATTCTAAACACGAACTGCCGGCTGCTGCTGAACACATTACAGGTAAGTAACGCATCTCGCGTACAATAAATTTAAGAGACAAGTCTAATTATTCGCCACGGACGCCACAGGGAATTCGCCATGTTGTCTGGCATTACTTTCGCTTGTGATCGCTAAATCAGTGCTCCTCTCACTAATGTTCAAGTTGTATATCGCCTAATTAAATTATGCGCTCTGGACAGGTTATAGCCATATAGCCCCTTATATATACCCTTAGATATTCGTCGACTCTAATCGCGTGTTGCTGTGGTCATGGTATAGCCGTAGCGCCAGTATTACCTCGTGTGCTTGCGAGCCACTAACATGGCTAATGCCCTAATTAAAAATGATGCCCAGGATAGTTATCCGGTATACTGTGTGAATTAAGTGCGGCGCGTTGCTGAAGAGAGTGCCGGGGAAAGCTGGGACGGCGGGGGGCCGCGCAAGCCGGTAGAGAGAACACAAGGAGCAAGGGAACGGGGTAAGGGAGAAAAAGAACGGAGATAATGGGAGGTGAAGGGAAACTCAAATAGAGGAAGATTGAGAGAGATGAGCAGAGACAGAGCGGACGTAGGAAGCTTGGGACGAAGGCGTCTTCTAGTTGCTCTTTTATGCGGGTCTTTAGCGCAAAGCATCCGGAGAGGTACGCCGGGGTAATTGAGAAGGTCGAGAGGAAAGCGTTCATGGAAGCGAGCAGCTAGAGATAAGGAGTGATGACACAGAAAAAGCGTGGCAACAGACACTTCAATAAGTAGGAGAATCGTTATCGTGCTCATCCACTAACATAATATAACTGGATCGAAATTAACAATTCCTAACATTGCTGTCAACCCCGTGCAACGAGCATTTGCGTTTTGACGCGTGCAGCCAGCGAACAGCGCTTTCTCTACACCGCGCACCCACGATCTCTTTCATTAGAACATCTTGCAGCCGTCTATAGTTTCAACCTCTGGCTATCGCTCCTCTCGCGGTCGCATCTATGATTTAGTCAGTCATTCCTACGCTCCTGTCGAACGAGTTTATCAAATTACTCAACGAAAAATCCGCCGCACACAGTGAGTAAATGACAGCATATCAGTCAAATTAACTCAACGAAATCCGCCGCACACGTGAGGTAAAATGACTCATGCGCTTCATTCACTGAGCTAAAAACTCACGTGTGCGCTGTGGGCCTAGGTTACCTGTGAATTCGAGCGCCTAGCGAAGCGGGCAACCACGGTCCACGGCTCAAATTCCATCCTCGCTAGATTGCGCGCGCCAGTGTTTGCGATCCATCGAACACCCGCCCACGGCTGTGTCGCAAGCGCGGGAAATCCACGTAGGCCGATTAAAAACTCCCATGGACGATCGCCAGAACGTGGTAGAGGCTGGTCTCTGGAACATTTACCGCAAGAGATTGCGGCTCCAGTCGGCGTCCTTACGCGACGCCGCCGTCAGCGCCACCACCGATGGGTTACTTTAGAACAACGGAATCTATTTTATCTTCTACATTTATGTTCAGCCTACCCGATTCTATCTTTTATCTTTTCTTCTCTCTTTCTCTCTCTCGTCTCTCTCTTTCTCTCTCTCTCTGCTCTCTCTCTCTCTCTCTGGCGCACGCGCTCTCTCTCTCTCTCTCTTTTCTCTCTCTCTCCTCGCTCTCTCTCTCCTCTCTTTTCTCTCTCCTCTCTCTCTCTCCTCTCTCTCTCTCTCTCTCTCTCTCGCCTCTCTCGCTGCTCTCGCTCGCTCTCTCCTCTCTCTCTCTCTCTCTTTCTTTCTCTTCTTTCTCTCTCTCTCTCTCTCTCTCTCTCTCGTCTCTCTCTCTCTCGCCTCTCGCTCTCTCGCTCGTGCCGCTCGCTCTCTCTCTCTCTCTTCTCTCTCTCTCTCTCTCTCCTCCGCTCTCGCTCTCTCGCTCGCTCTCTCTCTCTCTCCTTCTCTCTCTCTCTCTCTCTCTCGCTCTCTCTCTCCTGCCCGCGCGCGCGCGCTCCTTTCTCTCTCTTCTCTCTCTCTTCTGTCCTACGCGTCAAGGGTCTCCGCGGCTCTGTCTCGCCTAGCATTCCCCACCTGCCGACGTGCCGCGCAGCGCGCTCTCTCTCTAGCTCTCTCTCTCTCTCTCTCTCTCTCTTCTTTCTGGCCGCGCGACTCGGCGCTGCTCTCTCCCTCTCACCCGTGTATCTGTTACCTCGTCATGTTATTCATTAACAATCGTTAAACGGTTCGTTATTATCAGGTCATGAATAACCTTGTCGCAGGTATTTTTCCGGATGTTTAATTCCTACTGCTTTTATGTTTGTGACGTCTAGCACATAATACAAAACAAATAAAAACAGCACAAAGGAATTTTCTGCATTCTTAATGTGTAAAATGCGATAAGGCCATCGATGGCCGGCATATTGCCACACCACTCTCTCTTGCATCGCTGTGCCGAAACACATTCATAATAAATCCATTAGCACTCATTAATCTGCGCCTGATTAAGATTGAGTGCAATCGCCAGATGCTAGCGTGATATACACCACGACGCTATAACAGCCGCATCCTTATATGCCCTAAGAACTAGTTTGTAATACAGCGTCTTCTCGCAAAAACATTTCCATATCGTGCGTCTAGCTAAACACGTCCATAAGGAAATTTATGACGTGGATCACCTCGTTCATTATCGCTCTGCAATGCCATCGCGTTCGTTCCACACAGACACACACACACACTCTCTCTCTCTTCTCTCTCTTTCTTTCTTCTGTCGCTTCTCTCTCTCTCTCTCTCTTTCTTCTTTGGTCGCTCTCTCTCCTCCTCTCTCTCTCTCTCTCTCTCTCTCTGCTCTCGTCTCTCTCTCTCTCTCCCTCTCTCTCTTCTCTCTCTCGTCTCATCTCTCTCTCTCTATCGCTCGCTCGCCTCGCCGCTCTCGCTTTTCTTTCTCTCTCTCTCTCTTTCTCTCGCCTCCCGCTCTCGCTCTCTTCTCGCGTCTCTCTCGCGCGCCTCTCTTTCTCTGCGAGCGAGGGCTCTCTCTCTGCACACCACTCTGCCAGGTCTCTCTAAGTCTCTCTCGATCGCTCTCTCTACTTTTCCATGTCTTAATCTTGTCTCGTTCTCGCTTGTCTCTCCTCTCTCTCTCCTCATCTCTCTCTC